TGCAAAACACATGCAGTCTACTTTTCCGTGTCTTGGCTCTTGTGTTGTCCTTGCTGTATGATTTCCTTTTATCCCATCATCATACCCATCATCTGTCACACAGGCTTGGGCAACGTACATGTTGCAGGCTTTCTAATCGAAACGAATGTTTCCTAAAGTGTCCTAGTTACGACCATCCCTAGAAAATTTTCAAGTGGGATAGGCAAGATAGGAAACAAAAAGAAATTTATTTATGTAATTATTATTATTATTTTTTTTTAATTTAGTGAAATCCACATCTATAAAACACTTATACACTTATAGAATACAGTGTTACATCAATACAAAAACATGCGTATTATGCATATACTAATATAACATCAATACAAAAACTTTTTTACACGCTTTCTGCACGGTCTTGTGCCCACTCCAACCCCAGCGAGCTATGTGGTCCTGGATTCCTTGTTTCCCAAACATCCTGATCTTTACTACGATGTACTTCGTTTGCATAAACTAAAAAGCATCGTTAACATATTAATTTCTTTTTATCACCCCATTCCTGATGGAGAAGGATGATTTTCTTATATAATGGACATAGCTTGTGCAAATATACTTATGTACGAAAATTGTGGTATATTACTTTGTTTTGCTACAAAAGTCAAGAAATCCTAATTTGCCGAACTTAAGTGATCCGCCATTTTGGCCTCAAAAAAGAAAACTCAAGGAGAAACTTGGCATTTAACCTAGAACTTGTATAACACTTACTTACAAATGGATAAAACAAATATACGCCCTTTCTTTAATGGGACATTCCTAGAGGCTATAGTAAGCTATTGACTCAGGATTAAAAATAAAAAAAGGGTGGACATTTTAAGATTTGACAACAAGGAACATTTCTTCAATTTACAGTAGTTAGCTTCTCTTATTTTGTACTTTCATATCCTAAATTTGACGTTAAATCTTTTTGCTTTATTTCTGCGGGTATTTTTTTAAAATTTTTTATACGAGATGAATATTAGATATGCCACTAATCGTGAAAAGGTACAGAAATTTACATTTTTAACACAGTTATCGTTTATTAAATAGAATGTGAGGTATGTGATGCTGTCGACATTTTAAAATGAATATGACATTGTTCAAACTGATAATCGAAAAATCAGCTTTTATTGTTTTTCTCCAACTCCAACTTGCTTTATTTGCCGCGATTAACCTGCGAAATTGCAGGTTGTGTTCCGGCTATCGAACTTTGGTGCTTCTAGGAGCGCTGCAGGTAAGGAAATGCCGAACGTAGTTCTCGTGGAGACAGGATAGCAGATGCAGGGGTGTGACCAATGTCACGTGGTGAGCGAGAAGACATCTGGTTGGTGATGAGGTATCCAGGCATCGTAGCGCTGTAAATCTGAAGTTTTACAATAGTTATACATAAAATATTACTAAATCAGTTCATAAAAGGTGTGTGTTGCAGTCATAAATGCAGAAAATAAAATACGATTCCAAAAAGTAAAATAGTATATACAGGAAAAATATAAGTAATATCTTGTGGGCGTGGCTGTGTGTGTCACATGATCATCCGGCTAAGATTTCTAAACATCATTATTTACAAGTCAAATAAGTTTTTCAGAGTACTACATACTTAAAAACACAAATTATGTTGGAAAATCCTGGTTTCCACTGAGTAGAAAAGCGGCATATGGACGGAGGTGCCTGTCCTCGTGTAAAATTTCATAGTGAAATAGGTTGAAAATGTCCATATGTTGGCACTCCTTAGCGGCGTCATAAAATGCCGTGTTAGTTCTTCTTAAATATTCCACTATTGTATCCATTTTTAAATCTTCATGGAGACGATTGTTCTTCACATACGGGTGTGCATTTGTGATAATTCTTAAAAATTGGTTTTGCACAACTTGTAATTTTTGGATTTCACCCTTCGAAGCGGTAGTGCATGCTGGCGAAGCGTACGTCATGATGGGTCGGATTGTGGCTAGATAAATAAGTCGTTTCTTGTCCAACGAAAGTTTTGAATATTTTCCTATCATGGGATATAAACATTTCATGACTTTAATCGCTTTATCCCTGATTTGTTGAATGTGATGCTGCCATGTGAGCTTGTCGTTGATGGTGATGCCCAGATATTTGGCTTGTTTCACGATAGGCACAGCCTCGTTAAAAAGATAAACACTTTGCCTGATCGGAACATTTTTCTTCCTTTTCCTTATGAGTAGGAGCTGCGATTTTTGAGCGTTAATTCGTATCTTCCAATATCCACACCATTGTTCTATGGAGGGAATAGTGTCTTGGAGTTTCCGAATAGCATGATTGATGTTAGCAGACTTCACTGCCAGGGCTGTGTCATCTGCATAACAGGCTAGCATAGAATTATGATTTAAATGCAATCTCGGAAAGTCTGAAACGTAGAATAGATGGAGTATAGGGCCAGTCTTAGAACCCTGTGGAGCACCGATAGTCATTATTTTAGTGCTGGATAATTCATTTTTTACCGAGACTCTGAATGTCCGATCCCTGATAAAAGAATGGATTAGCAGAATGAGTTCTCTGTCCTTATGAAGGTCAATTGATTTAGCTTATCAATGATCTTATGAAGGTCAATTGATTTAGCAATTAAGCCCTCATGCCAGACGCGGTCGAATGCTTTCGCCACGTCTAGCATGAGTATAGCAACATTAAGTTTGCAGTGCAGAGCTGCACCAGCGAATTCGGTTATTCGGACAAGTTGCTTCGTTGTTGAAAGGTGAGCACGGAACCCAAATTGTTCCGGCGAAAGATGCTGAAAATATGGTTTCAGTCTATTCAGGATAATTCTCTCAAAAATTTTGCCTAAGCCCGGCAGTAGACTAATAGGACGATATCCGTCTGGTCGGATGTGATCTGTAGCCGGTTTAGGTAGTAAAATAATTTTAGCAATTTTCCAAGGTGTTGGAAAGTAAGAAAGAGCAAGACAAGCATTAAAAATACTTGTCAGGCTGCAGATGATGTTAGGCGGCAAATTGCTGTATTGCTGATTTCATCAATTCCTGGAGATTTCTTTTGTCTCAGGTGTTTAATATTAGTCGTTTCAGTATAAAGGAAGGAAAGTTTATTTGGAAACTAAATAAACTATTAACAATTATTAATCCATCAGAATTTTCTTACACAAGGCAATATATATATATATCGAATACTTTATCTTTGTCACATGCCACAGTTTTTCTTCAGCAACATTTTGTTTTTCTTTATCGAATTCTTCGCTGAGTACCCTGATTCATACTTATCATAGCATTTCAGAATGTCGACATGTAGTTAATTTTTTTTCCAAGTGTTGATGTATTTATTATAAACCAATAAATGTGATATTTTTGTGTTTATTTTCAATAAGCATCGTTATTTTTTAAAGTTTTTAAATTATTTGAAAGAAATGCAACTCTTTAAAAAATAAGAAATAATTTCAATTTCACCTTGATTTCAGTTTCGTAATCGAATTGTTTAATTCTCTTCCTGTCTGAACGCGATATTCATCAAAATACTTACTTGCAAAAGTTTTCCAAACTACAATATTATCCTACGGTATTTTCTATCTATTTAAAATTTTATAAATGGTTTAATTGTAACCCATATTTCCAAGTACGAAACGCAGCTGGAATGGCAACATAAAATTACTTTTCAAATTGTTCTTTTTATGTCGAGCTCCTACCAGCGGCCGGAGAGGTTAAGACTATTGGATACTGGAGTACTTTGAACCTGTATTCTAGCCTAGGCAAACACGCTGCTGCATTGTCGATTTTTAAACGGCTGTTCTAAAACGTGTATCTAAAATGACTCATTAGTCTGATTTCATTAAATGTATTTCTATTCTGATTTCACAGAAGTACTTCCATGTTTGTCGGGAGTGGTACTGTATTTACAAAATGCGAGAATGTTTTCAAAATCCAAGAATTAGATTGAAGCGAGTTACTGCCCTAAAATACGGAACAACTTCTCATTTTACCGAATACCAAATTTATTATCTTGACTGTGGATGGTACAGGTATCATTCAAGTCTAATTTTGTAAATCCATTTTGGTTGCCGAACAATATACGAATATCACTGAAAAATGTATGTGAAAATTCAGTTGTGTTTCTTACGTATATACAAAAGGACAGGTTACCTGTTAATTTATACAATTGTTTGCCTTGTTAAATATATCAACCATGACGAAACTAGTCGGTGTACTTAACAAGTATACCGACTGTATAAATTAATGTACTTCCTATGATATTCTTCCATCGACCCTGAGGAAAGAGGGGCTTACGCTTTTGGGATATGAATTTTGATAACAAAAGTAAGTGTTCTATGAAACGAATGTTAAAATTGTGTAAGAGTAACTGTGTTCTTTGTGAGCTGTCGAACAGCAAATAACCCATGCTAAATTTCTATTAATAGTGAAACAGGATCCATTTCAAATATTTAATTACTTGGATTGGATTTATTTAATGCAACTCGTATCTCTTTCATAATACGTATGTGTTTTATTTCACTTGCATACAGACGCCTAATAATAACCTTTATAAATTAGAATTAAAAAATAAACTAATATCACACGAAAGACTTATAATAGATTAAACAGTGTCTATAGAGTGTATGAATCAAAATTACGAAGCATTTGAACAACTTTCATAATAATATACTTTTAATGAACATATTCTGTGCAACAGTGTTTTGTAATGTGGATTGTTTTTCCCTTGATGAGAGAAAGTTGGTATCCGGGTGGTCTCAGCAGACTGCTAGTATAATAAACCTATCCACATCCTTATCAGGACACACCTCTAGAGCCTCATGGCAACTAAGAAATAAACATTTCCCCCTTATCATCCGTTACGATTATCTTCCACGTTCTGTGTTGTACGAGTCCTGATAAGTGGTATGTCTTAAAATGGGCTTCGTCGATCGGCAACTGGTTTAAGTAGATATTAACGTTATACTGGGGATGAGTGACTGGCCTATGGTTCAAACTGCAACCTGTCGTTATCTTTATCTGGATTGACCCTGCGAAATCTTAACAGCCTAACATAGTTTACAAATCGGAGATAGTAGATTGAGTGACAGCTGCCAAAATTTGTTCAACTTGTTTGTGTTTAGCATTTCGAGCAACGTGATTTTATTTCAACTGTTTTCCCGGAAGCAAACCATCATTTTTGTGCCTAAATCTTTGGCGGAAAAGTATCCAATCATTATCAACTTGCGTTGTGCGATGTCATTTCCCAGTTTATAACAAAAGACAAATTTGTAAGTAATTTCTGTGTATCATTTTATACTCATATATATAGATATCGGTGGGGGTAGGCTTGGGGGAAAAATATGAAATCTGTTATACACTGTGTATCAATTATTTGGTAACCTTTCATGCAACAATGAGATTATAATGAAAAGTTTAAATTTTGTGTGGAGTCTAAGGAAGTATAAAAGCTTTATAATGATAATTTCGAGGAATGATGACTTTAAAAGCTTCCTGACATTTGGTTCACCAGACGACTTCATGCCTTGAAGAGATAACTAATTGTGTAATGGCCATTATAAAAAGTAGGTTAGTAATAGCCATGAGAAACACCAACAAAACTGCTGGTTGTCGCACTTGGGAGTAGACATCAATTTGATCTATGTTTTTCCTTCCTTTCCCCGAAGGTGAGCGAGTTCTTTGGTCAGAGTCCTCTTTTGCTCCTTCTTATTTCCAAACCGATACTAGTCTTTATCCAAACACGTGTTCTGAATCACGGGCAATTTAAAACAATCAAAGGTCATCCTTAAAGGTAGTAGTCAGTAACTGATTCGATGTGACCTGATCTCGTTAAATGGTCGATCAGCTTAGGTGATCGGACGGATTGCAGAAAATTGCTGGTGTGTTTATTTCTTGCACCAAGGAACATTGGAAGCAATATTTACGAGCTAGATCTTGTTTCTGCGTCTTCACCAGGTCAGTCAAATAATATTTCTTCACAGTTTTGTCGTTTCTATAGATAAAATTACAACCTTTGCTTCTTCTAAAGATAGAGTTATCCTGTATTGTCTGTTCAACTGTGTCACACAGAAGCGAATCCTCGTAGTTCAGTCGTGATTCACGATTTCCTATTTGTAAATGGCTCCATGAAGATACTAAGTGCTTAGAGTAATAAATGGAATTGTTCTTTGTGTTTTGATAATGTTCGAGTTATAACTGTTGTTATATATAGAACGACCTAACACATTTGAGAATGTGTATCGATTGTAATCTGTAACCATGCATCTGATTGTTAACTTGGCATAGTTATTAATAGATCTCGATATATTTGATTAAAAGTATCTTAGGCGAGGACATCTTCTTTTATACAAGTTCCAAGCAGAAATAATAATGATGCTTTCAGTTGAAAATAGACTTTGATTTTTTTCAAGGAACAGTTACGTTATTTTGTTATCATTACATTTTACTTCGTTTTCTTTGTAAATAAAAGGTGTACTTTGATTTATTCAACTGTCTACCAAAGTCAGAAATAACATACGAATATACACTGGATTGAAAAAACAGCTTAGTTTTCATTCTAATTTAAATAAAATCTTTCTGTCCTTTTATTCTTGGGAGCGGAGTTACTTTTGTTAAATGCTTAAAAATTTCGTAGCAAAGGGAGCTCATAAGTATTAGATCATTTTAAAAATTACAAAAATGCTGATGTTTTAAATTATTAATATAATTTTCTGTTCTTTTAAATATATTATTTCATTGTTGCCTCACACATGCATTTTATATATTTCCACTCCCCTTTTTCTCTCATTTACTGTTCGCTGTTTTGAAACTCTCCTCAATAACTCTTCAATAACTCTTTTGAAACTCTCTTCAATAACTGTTTTGAAATTCTCATTTACTGTTCGCTGTTTAGAAACTCTCTTCCTATGCACAGAATTAAAAGTATCGCATGTAATAGATGGCATATTTAAAAAAAAAAAAAAATTAAGTTTATTTTTAAAAGTATATGGTTTCTGTAAAATATATCTTTCAAGAATATACAAAATGCGTATATGAGTTATTAACAATGGAATATGTAGTATGTTTAAAATGGGCGATCTCTCTTTTACAAATTTCTAATCCATGTCTCGTCGAATCTGAGCTTAACTCAGCAACTCAGGATAAATTTTGAATCTTTGATGGATACGACACATAGAAATCAATGAAACAGATTACTCTGCCTGGTAATTTCCTTCGCCGTTGCATCAAGTTTGATGGAATATCGCAGCTGTTAGTAGTTTTTGCGGGGATGAGTTCAGTTGACATAGTTTTTCCTTAATAATGATTTGTTTCCTATGTATAGATCATTTATTAATATATTTTATTTTTATATTAAAATTACTTTGTGTTTCCTGTTCATTTCCTGAGTTCAGTATCCGTTCTGCGCGTATGGTTCATATTCGAATCAGGGCTTTCTCAATTCACAATAAGTCGTGTGTTCACGTGACAGTTGAACATCACGTGATCATCCATTGTTCTACCAAGGAAGAAAAACCTAACTAGGAAGTTACGTTTTCCCCAATTAAAATCAATGCTAGGATCTCACTATACATGCGTTGGTGGTTAACAGTTCACAAAGAACATTCATAAATTAAGCACCCTCAGAATTTCTTTTGTATGCCATTCTTTTGTATACTTTTGCATCGCAGTGTGTGCTACAGTAACCGAATTAATTTAGGCGCAGTTACTTAGTTACTTAACCTCTTCAGGAAAGATTTTTTTTTAAACTGCCGAGAAATTGTTTGCCCAAAGGGAGTTAGCCCAGAAGGGCTATTTGGCATTTTGCGTTGAAAACTTTAAATGTCGGTTTAACTTTTCAAATTGTTGACACCAAATATTATCACCCTGTGTTATACTATTTAAAGAAACTAAATAATGAAGAATCTGCATAAATGTACGTATGTTTCTCGCATTGTGATAAAACAACAGTACCTAGAGTCATCAGATTTTCAATAACATAATCCTCCATCGAATACGGGCACCTGGAAGCCCGAATTTGGAATTTGTTTTATTATTGATTTCGTATTTTGTAACACTAACGAATTTTTGATTAACAAACGCAACGATCTCAAAGCGAGCAATGGCAACACTGTTGTAGGCGGGGAAAAACATTTTTTTTTATCTCCAGCGCGCGAGACTGTGTATCAGAAATTCTAAAGATATGCCCATTTTAAAACCTTATTTTGCGATATTGCTGTTGAATTGAATTTTATGTTTTAAGTGCGAAAAACATGATATTTAAAAAAAAAAAAAAAAAAAGGTAACAGGCGAAACGTTAAGAAAACGCCCCTTTGGGCGTTATGTACTTTTCTTTCTTTTCTTTTGTGGTTTTTAATTTAAAATTTTTGTTCGTTTATTAGGATTTGATTCCTTTTATCTCTATAGCAATTCAGTGAGCCGTGGAGAGGGGAAATGGAGAAAACAATAAATATACGCGAAAGATAGTGACACAATAAGGAATTAGACATGTTTAAAAAACAAAATGAAAAATTCGAATTATTAAAATATCCTTTTATTTATTTATTTATTTATTTATTTATTTATTTTTTTGAATGTCTAGTTTGCTTAAACAGTAACAGATTGATTAAATTCAAAGATCTTTTATTTTCCCAAAACAGCAGTCTGAGAAACCGCTTTATGAGAGGATCCCATGTTTTGCGCAGTGCTTCAAGGCACGTGATTAAGGCTGCTTCTAGATTCTTTTCGTTTCGTTCGAAATTTCGATCCGGATTTCATCCTGCCAAAATGTGATTTTGCATATCAAATTAAAACAATGCACTTTTTTCAAACCGGTGGAGGGGAGGAGATGATTAATTAATAATGATAAAAGCATTTCAGGGCTATTCCTAAAAGAAAATATGCTTTGATTGTGAACTTTCTTAAATGTAATTAGTTAGTTTTCAAGTTTCATGCGGAAATTTTCATATAGCGCTGGTCGAATTACTTGTTGGAATTCGAGTTATTGGCGAACTACCAGTGTTCCACAACTTTTTATCTATTTAGTCGCTAGTGTGCTTCTAAAAGTCTGAACGAATTACGTGGCAGATGTCGCTTCCCAAAATTCTGAGGAAGACTTAGTACTTTGAGGTATAATCAATCATAATGATAACGGGGAGTAGTTAAGAAATAAAAACATAACAATCGCTTTGTGCTTTATTTAAAAAAATTATATTAAACGCAAAAAGTAACATCATTAAATAATAAATAAATACTGATGGTCATTTAAAATATTTTTTAATTCTTGAAGGAATTAGGCTTTGTTACAGTTAAGATATCTCCATTTTTCAAGTTGGAAACTTAAAACACAGAAAAATTAAATGAACAGAATGATATGATTAACTTCGCAGTTGATTGTAATTTCGAAAGCCCTATTTTATACTTTTAAGAGTTTAGTATAAACTGCTGTGTTAGGAAATTTCCATTTCATTGATATAGTCTGCCTATCTTTATGTTTATTTTTCAGCAGTAGCTTCCAGTAAAGAACAAGCGTGATAAAACGCACTACGAATTCTAACGAGCCGTGAACTGTAACCGTGGGTTATCTTCCGCACACCTTTGAAGTGATCCGGACCAGGCGATTATTTCCAGAGATTTACGACGACACCTTCCGCGCCATCTCGTAATCAATCTCGAAAGACCCGCTTTCGAAGCACCCCAAGGTGTTTCAAAAGAGTTCTGAGGAAGAAACCCCGTGGCGTCGGTAGCAAAACCTCCCCGTTGAGCCAGTCCGTAAACAGGTAACCACACCCTTACCTGAACAGAAAACAGCAAAGTAAATAATAATTAAAAAAAAAAAAAAATGCCTGACCGGTCCTTGTTTGATTTCTGTTTTATCCCTGTTTTTGTTCTTTCCCTCCTCCACCCTCTCTCCACTCTGCTCGTTACCGTTTGACCTATTGGAAGACCCGTTGGGGTACCACAGTGACCTAATTCAGGTAATCTGATCATCAAATGTAATGATCACCTTCCATTATTCAGTATTTTGTTACATTTCCTGACTTGTGAATTTGCAGTTTCACAGTAAGGAAATAGTGTTAGAAGTATATTAATGTAAATCAATATCATGCTGCATAAATGTGCTTGCCTATCTATCGAATGTATGGTTAACAGTTGAGTTATTGAGGGAGATGTGACTACTTGCAATTCTGCTTGAAGTAAAATTTAACTTTTTTTTTGCGTCGAAGGCCCTCAAGATGTATTCTGCCTAGCTTGTAAACCCATAACGTATTCGATGAAGAAAATTGTTTCAAAT